ATATCCGCACAAAACAAATATGTGAATACTTACCCTCTGAACAACACGATTGCGGGTGGTGGTGGTGGATAGTTGGAGTAGGCACCAGCCATGGGAAAACAAATACGAAAGCGAGGAAGCCGCAAAGAGAGTCAACTGACACCGAAAACACACCTTGTAGGGAATGTGATGATGGGCTTTGTTTGAGGAAGACCTCGTTTTAGACGACGGTGCCGAGGACGATATATAGGGGTGTGTGTGTGTGTGTGAAAATAATGTTGGACACACCTTTGTCGTTGTCGTCGTTGTTGTGAATGGAATCGTGGAGATCGATGAAGGTGGAATGGACACGGCTAAACTTGAATTTGCGTTTCTTTTTATAGCAGCTCCGATCCAAGTCCCGTGTTTGTGTGTGCCTATCAACTTCATTCCTGCATCATTCACTCTCATTTACTATCTTAACTAAGGGACATGAATTTTAGAAAATGGTCATAGAATTCGGCTTCTTTGGATCGCCGCCCATCCACATCTTGGTTGTGGAGGTTTGCAAGTCAACTATGTCTATCCTCCCCCAAACCAATGTTCCCAGTAGAGTTTATCTAATATCTTCTTCTGATCATATCTCATTCACAAGAAAATATCCCTTTTTATCGGTGAATTACATACTTCAAATGTAACCTACTCGACTGTGTATATATTTTATATATATAAGCAAACACACCAATTAGCATGAAATTTACTAATCCAAACATCATGTAAAACTTGCCACGTCGTTAATTAATGAATTTTAATAAACTTTCTGACAAGCTCAAGCAAGTAATTCTAGTAAGTCGTGTCACCAAACGTCTACAGCCGACAAAGGCTTGGTGTAGGTTGGTGCGCAGGTCGGTCGTCCCTGTGATGCGCGCACTGCGTGGCGCAAAGGACATCTTCCACAATATATTCATGTTCTAGATTTCCGCAAAGAGTTTAGAGAGAAAGGGAAAACGAAATAAAAGCTTACGCTCGCGAACAACCACAATAAATGCTCCCGCTCGGCTTAGTAATTCAAGTTTCAATTCACATGCCGCAAGTCAACTGTTGCAGGCCATCAATGAGTTCCAACCAAGATGAATATTTACAACTGCGTATGCAAAACAACCCAAGCGAGCTTGCATCTCCGCACTTCGCATTTCTTCTAAATTGGGTTTGTTATTTATTTTCCTAGCGGATTCATTTGTTTGGCTTTTTGGGTGTTTCTAAAATGTAAAAAGTATAAACCATCTCAAGAATGTTCCACTACTTTGAAACGAGAAGATTTGTTAACTCTCTTAGGGTAGTACCCGAGTCTATCTAATGTCTCGTCCGTCGGGCTTGGAAATGGATCGTCAATGACGGAGAAGCAGGGAAAAGAGAATCCCGCGTGCATTTTGTCTTTAGAAGTCGGGTCTGTCACTCCTTTGAGACTTTGTGTTTCAAAACCCAAGATCGAGTTCTTTTCTCTGTTGCTATTTTTTATCTCCTACTTTTTGGAAATTATTCAAGTATTCAAAATTGACACGCCCAGTGTGATTTCTAGGTGTTTGCAACCCTTTTCTTTTAGCGAGAATTAGATCATATGTGAATCGTCACCGTGGCCGGCCACCGGCCGAAAATAAAGAAAAAAGAAAGGAAAAAAATAAACAATAATAAAAACAGAAAAAAAAAAAAAATTTTTTTTTGGTAAGGAAAAATAAATAATTTTGATTTTTTTAAAAATTATATTTTTATAAAAAGGAGTGGGCTTAATGGGTGGGTTGGAAATAAGTTCCACACTCAACCCATTAAGACCTATTTACGATAGGCTTAAAATTTTAAGACCAATTTAAGATGGATTTTTCAAAGTTGTGTTGATTCATTTATAACCCATTTATTTCTAAATGGGTCATATATGGGTTTTAAGACCCATTTAACAGGTCTAGTCGTAGGAGAAGATTTGGTGGCATGAAATATGAGAATTGAAGGTCGCAGAGAAATAGAACAAACCTTAGGATTGAAGTCACAGGAGATGATTCGGTGTGAGAATCGGATGAAACTGGGCCCGAAGACAAAAATGCAAATCAATTCGTGAAATTGAACAGGATGGGAAACCGTGGATCGTGACCTCGTGCGGAGGCGAAGGTCGACCCCGTCGCCTGCAAGAGAAATAGAAATCACAGGAGATGATTCAGTCACACCAAATGCGAGGATTGGAAGTTGGCCCGCAAGAGAAATAGAACAAATTGGGGCTCTATGGGTAGTAGGTCGCTAAGAAACGGGAAGGAACATCTCTGTAAAGAGATAATCTTTCAAATTTCTGTGCTTCCTCTGCACAAATGCTCTTTCACATTTTATGAGTTCTCTTCACGGAAAACTCTCTCCAAGCTTTGGAGCTGAGAAACGAGAGAGTAGCATTTAGTAAAGTTGCTATGCGCCCCATTTATTTTTATTTTTATTTTTCGTCCAAATGAAATGTGTCACTCTTTGAGTTGAGCTGACTAGATGACACCCACCACATAAGCTGTTGACATGGACCTTCCGATTCTCACATTTCCCGCGACCAAATAGTTTTTTTTTGTTTCATTTTTAGTTAAACAAAATAAAAATAAACGCAACAATATTGAACAAACTTGTCATTCATCAAAGAGAATTCAAAAAGGCTAGTTTTCCTAACATTACGGTTCGAATAAATACAATTAAAATGAGAAGTTATTATGTGAATTGATACGTAACAGAATTCACGAGGGATTAGCATGTCGATCAAGACAATATTAGGACCACAAACAAAATGGAAAGCAGGAAAAAGGAAAGAAAGATAAGCTTTTGGTCCTCAAACATCCATGAAAATTTGTTTCAAATTCTGACCATGTGAAATCAAAAGAAACAACAATCATAGTTAATAACTTAATAATAGTTTTAAATTTAAAATTAAAGCGTCGCGTATCGCTTATTTGCAACTGCAACTACAACTTTTTTTATTCCTTCCACCATCCATTATCACCATTGTTCTAATTATGCAGCCATCAAGCTTAAGATGTTTCTTGAAAGAGTGAATGACGGAAACAATCGAACCTTACTAAAGAACAAAAACTTGGCATAGATGTATGACAATGAATACCCAAACATGACAAGTTAAGCAAAGCAATGAGCATGCGAATTGTGGGTACTCCAAAACCACAATGAACCCAAGGTCTAAACAAACTTTAGAAAATGTTCTACATGCTCCTCTGAAGCATATAGCTACATTTCCTACCGTAAGTCTTCACAAGAAACAAAATTGAATATCAACCTCTCTCGGTGAATCAGTAAATCATTCTGCTCCGATGGATGAGAAAGACATCCGATCAAACCATGCACGTGCAGTGATGGGCTATAATTTTTCTGCTAGACCTCTTAGAGTCGATCATTTAAAGAAGATATATGCCCTTTGTTTCATATGGTAATGGCCCAACTCTTTGGAGAGACAAAAAAAAAAAACTTCCAACCACTAATCTAAGTAGATGAGAATTTGAGAGCTAAGAAATGAGAAGTAGTAAGAAAATTAGGGATTTTAGATTTAGGGTTTCCGCTTCCGGTTCCAGTTCCTATAAGAACTAAGAACATCGGTTCCTAAAAAAGTGGAACCGGGAATCAGAACCGAAACCTTCCTCCTTAGAACCGAGAACCTAACTAAACCCATCGATCCGGTTCCTGGTTCTACCCTGCAACCGTACTCACTCTTATTACTCACTGCAGATGAAAAAGATTTCATCAATTAAAGTGATGCCGATAGTATCAACAATTTTGAACCCAGTAAAACACACACAGACTCAAAGACACAAAACCAATTTGTAACTGGACGAGCAATTAAAGAGCAAAACCAATACTAGCAAAAAATCATTATGTGCAATTCAAAGAAAAATATTATCTCATTATCTCTAATAATGTGTTCATCATAAGAGCTGTCACTAATTATATTAGTCATATCGATTTAGGAAATATAGAAAAAAACGTCATACATTAAGAAAATGTGATAATAATTTTTTATATTTGTCAAAATTTATTTTGGTTAATTTCCTAACATGCCATCTATCTATAAGAAATCGTAATTTTTTAAATTAATCCTCTAATATTATTTATTGGTCGAATATGGACTATCATATTATGTATAGTTTCTCAATGTAGGTATAACATCATTTATTTGTGAATACATTTTGTGATTTTGTGTGTGAGCGTAGATGGAGGGAGATGGGAAACTAACAGAAACGGCTAGAAAAAGGAGAAAAGAGGACGACTCGTAGTAATAGCCAAGCCCTCTGCGGCAAGACTGGGGTTGTCTTGGTCCATTTTCTGCTTTTGGCAACTCTTCTGTCCACCCATCTCATGTTTTTCTCGCTCGTTTGGGACGGCAAGAGACTTTGGCCTGGTCCTGCTCTGTTGAATGGACTCGGCAGACTTGTGTCGACCATTAAATGCATTGCCAGCGTCTCCTCTGCCTGCTCCATTCTCTTTCTTTCACTCCTATTGCCCCTCAAAGGTTTGGATTCTCTGGCTTTTTGCTCATTCATAGCGTTAGCAACTGCTCCTGCCATGAGCATGAGGGCCTTTGTCCGGGCTTTAATTCTGCTCTTGCTTCTTTCATGCGCCCAATCCAAGTACATTGCCTACAACACCACCTCCCGCGTCGTGCCTGGTAAGCTCAACGTCCATTTGGTCCCTCACACCCACGATGACGTCGGCTGGAAGAAGACCGTTGATCAGTACTACGTCGGTTCCAACAATACCATTCAGGTCGCCTCACGCTCCAGAACCAAGTCTCAATCTCATTCTTTTCGTACAAAACATGTTATCTTTACGCCTTTGATGGATTCAGGGCGCGTGTGTTCAGAATGAACTGGATTCCATAGTTCCCGCACTGCTCACCGATAAGAACCGCAAGTTCATCTATGCGGAACAGGCTTGAACTTGCACCCTCTCCCCTTCTTTTTACCTTCTTACGCTTTCTTTAACCTGACTTAGGCTATTCCCTCTGTCGATGAAGGCTTTTTTCCAACGTTGGTGGAGAGACCAGAGCGAGCAAGTCCAAAGTACAGTCAAGCAGCTCGTGAATTCAGGTCAACTGGAGTTCATGTAAATGACCGACTCCCACTCTTCTAGAATAATTAACCCTTCTGTGAGGATGAGGGTGAGGAAGGCAAAACTACTTTCTGTTGAATTGTCTTGCACCAGTCTGTGCCTTTTAGCTTCATTTTACTTGCCAAATAATTAACTGACTCACCGGGATGCATCTTTAAACTCATCCTTGAGGACTTTAATTGTTCATTGCTAACTTTGGGGCACAGAAATGGAGGAATGTGCATGCATGATGAGGCAACAACTCATTACATCGACATGATTGATCAGACGACTCTTGGTCACCGATTTATCAAGGAAGAATTTGGTGTAACCCCAAGAATTGGTTGGCAAATTGATACTTTTGGTCATTCGTCCGTGCAGGCTTACTTGTTAGGGGCAGAGGTCTTGCCTTCTCCATATCTACTTTATTATATACGGCTCTTCCTCTCAATGATGAATGTTGGTCAAGTGATGGTTTGGATCTTTGATGATCCAGGTGAACAGCATTGAGTTCATGACTTGCTTAACACAAAGTTTACTCTAATTACAGGTTGGATTTGATTCTGTCTTCTTTGCCCGAATTGACTACCAAGATAGAGCCAAACGGAAAGCAGAAAAAACTCTTGAGGTTGTCTGGCGAGCATCTAATAGTTTTGGTTCATCTGCTCAGGTGAGTGCTTGTGAATTCTTTCTTCTCCCTCCTTGACGGAGGAACTTGATACACGCTCCAACAAATTGACCTTTTTTGTCCGGAGTGTTTTTCAAAGCTTATTTGGATTCGCAAGTATAGGCATTAAGAACTTTCAGTCCTCTGTAGATATTTGCAGGTGCATTTCCGGAGAACTATGGACCTCCCAATAATTTCCATTATGAAGTTAACGATGATTGGCTTGATGATTCGGCTATTGTTCAGGTTATCCTTCTATCGAGTTTTTTATGATTAACCCTCTAGATTCATATTATTGTCTGCCTAATCTCATTACGTTGTATCAATTTGTAGGATAACTACAATCTGTTTGATTACAATGTCCTGGAGAGAGTGAATGAGTTTGTGTCTGCTGCACTATCACAAGTAAGACTGGCATAACTAAGATAAGAATCCATTTGACTTAGGAGCCATGCAGGATTTTATTTCCATATGCTTTCAACTTCTCAGCTTCTTGTCAATGTGATGGCCTCTTCATAATCTGTACATAGAAGTGGATCATATTTCCCTACAGGAGCAGTTTATCTTGGATTATTGGAGTCTGATAGATGACGTGAATATTAGACTTTGGATTATTTACTCAAAAGGGGATCACTGTTTTCTTTTATTTTTCATGATGTATCATCGGTTTGTTGAGTTCATTTAGAGGTTGGCTCTCTCCTGGTGCTTTGGAGTGAAAGGGATACTTCTATCGAGAACGATTCGTATCTTTGTTTCACTAGTAATTAACAAAATCATTGTTGCCAAAATAATCTCCATCTGAATTTAGGCTCATCAGAAATGTCCTCCACCTAATGTTTTTCAGGCCAACATCACTCGTACAAACCATGTCATGTGGACAATGGGCAGTGACTTCAAGTACCAATTTGCACATACGTGGTTCCGGCAATTGGATAAATTTATTCACTACGTCAATCAGGTTAGTATCTTTTATGCCATCACATGAATCATGATGGTTTTCTTTTATGTACTCATGATAGTTACTTTATGTACTCCTCTGGTTTCAAGTGATATTGATCGGCATCGACTAGTTTTTGCTCCATTTGATACCAGTTATTGACAATGCATCAGATGAATTCGCAACTTTACATGCTAGAAGAAGAGATTCCAATACCATGCTACCACCTGATGTCTACATAATGCCTTATTGCTTTAGCACACAGACTAGAATGATGTTGAACAAGTGTGGCAACTAATGCTTTTCGTGCATATCTCGTTACTGACTACAACATTTGCAAGCCCTTTGAAATCCATTTCCAGTTATTTCCAGCATTCTTATATTGACACGATCATTTCTCACTCGAATAGACATGGATAAGTAACTTTCATTTTGTTCTCAATGCAATTTGGACTGATTTCTAGGATGGACGAGTCAATGCCTTATACTCGACCCCTTCAATTTATACCGATGCCAAGCATGCTTCCAATGATCAATGGCCACTCAAAACTGGGGACTTCTTACCGTAAGCTCGATGTTTTAGAGTAACATAGAAGTTGCAGAAAAATTTTCTTTTCTAATTTTTTTATCTTGACCTCTTAGAGATGCTTGACAGATATGCAGATAAAATAAATGTTTACTGGACTGGATACTTTACGAGCAGGGCTGCCCTCAAAGGCTACGTGAGGATGCTGAGTGGTTACTACTTGGTAGCATCCACGTGACCCATCTCTTGATTCCAATTGCCAATAAAATATTGTATAAGCTGATGATAATATGCGGATGAGTTATGAATATCGGCCTTTTGATATATAAACAGGCTGCCAGGCAATTAGAATTTTTGGCAGGAAGAAAGAAACTGGGGCCAAACACTGATGCCTTAGCTGACGCTTTAGCCATTGCACAGCATCACGATGCAGTTACTGGTACTGAGAGACAGCATGTTGCTGATGACTACACCAAGCGACTATCTGCAGGCTACATTGAGGTTTAGCTCGTTATATCCTCTTGAGAGTTTTGAAGACATATGACCACATATATTTCCATATTCTTGCGACTCATATTTACTTTGTCAGGCTGAGGACGTAGTTGCAGCATCTCTTGGCTGCATGATGGAGTCACCCAGAACAGCTTCTTGCAATTCTTCAGAGAAAAAAATTCAACAGGCAATAGTAGACTGTTTTGACATTTCTTAGGATTAGCCTGCTCCCATTTGAGCTTTTAGGCCATCACATAAAAATCTTATTATGCTTCTACATTATACTTTTCACATTGGTTGCAAAATATATAATTACAGATGAGACATAAAAAAATGCAGATACACCCACTTTAGCATCAGACTGACATGCGATGGTTGAATATTTGAGTCAGCATCGATGGAAGAGATTTTAGTATATAGTTACTATTCCCTCTTAAAATTTGCAAACTTTTCTGCACTTTACGTGCCAAGCAGTCTATTATTTCAAAATCACGACATGCTAACTTTGGTCTGTCTTCTTGGCATGAGTTCAGTGTCCACTTTTGAATATTAGTTACTGTCCCCCGTCAGAAGTTGATCTATCAAATGGGAAGAAGCTGGTGAGTGTTCAAACACCTTGGATGAATTTTCTTGAACTACCAAAAAAGTTTGTGTGACATAATTTTTGTAGGTGGTTGTTGTCTACAATTCACTAGGATGGAAAAGAGAGGATGTTATAAGAGTTCCTGTGAGTATTCGACGTGCTTTTATCTTAGAAAGACAAATTATTAATTGTTATTAGAGTTCCTGCAAGTATTTGACATACATGGTACAGGTTGTTAGTGAAGATGTTAGTGTTCAAGACTCCAGTGGAAGAGAAGTTCAATCGCAGCTTCTTCCTATAATGAATGTCACATTGGGTATAAGGAACTATTATACATTGGCATATCTGGAAAAATCCCCAATTGTGACCCCCAAATATTGGCTTGCTTTCACTGTATACGTTCCACCCCTTGGTTTCAATAGTTACATCATTTCAAGTGCAAAAGGAAAAGGTACGCGAATGGTTTCGTCCTGTTGCAATGTGAAGTATTGCCAAATTCACATCTCTATTTCTCTTCTTCTTTTTGGCTCCATTTGGCAGTTGCTGCTGCAACTTCTGAGGTACAAATCATGTATGCTTCGGAAAGGGGAATGAATGATACAGTAGAAATAGGGGAAGGAAACTTAAAACTTGTTTATTCTGGAAATGATGCAAGACAGGCTGAATATATAAACAGAAGAAGTTCGGTATGTCCTTTGTTATAGCACAATGTGTTTCATGAGTAGAAAAAACCAGAATTTTCTTCCTTTTCTTAATGTCTATCTACAAGCATCTTCATCCTTTACCATGCTTTCTCCTTCAGCAGAAATGTTTAGATGAGGCAACTTGCTTTCGCATTTAAATTTGTTCATGTACTTTAATGAGAGACATAATGATTGAATGAAGGTCAAAGCACCTTTGGAGCAATCATACAGCTTTTACACCGGAGATGATGGAAGTGTGGATCTTCAGGTAAATCATTTTTTATCAATGGTTGCTACCTAAGGGAGCATCTGCAAAAGTGTCTTTATCTTACAGATATTCTTGTATAACTCTGGTAGTCCTCTGCATCTGGAGCATACGTCTTTCGGCCGAATGGTACATACCCTATTAAGTATGACAGGAAGGTATAGTTTCTTCCAGAATATCTACTCGGGACAGCTCATGACTCATGACAGTCTATAATTGTAACACCTTCCAATGTCTAGGTTCCTTTGACTATTTTGCGTGGACCACTGGTGGATGAAGTACATCAAAGGATCAATCCATGGATGGATCAGGTCGTTTGTTATGGCACTTTAGTTTTCTCGCCAGATTGCTAAAATGCATTCATGACGCTGCATCAAACTATTAGATTGGTTCGTCATGTTCCTCATATTGACTAAGCTTTTAGAGGTTTTAGGACATTAAAGCCGACCATAATAAACTATTTGTATCGACAACTGTGAGTGTGAAACTCACACATGGACCAACAGGAGTCCCAATATATCTGACTTTTGTCCATATTGAACCACGATAATGTTCAACTGATGATGGAATTGAGGAAACAAGCAGCACATAGGATTATTGTGTATGTGCCTGGTGATCACAATTAGCAGAAACTCTTAGCTTGCATTTCCATTGATGAAGTCCCCAATATAGTGGAAAGCTACATTGATGTGATTTGTTCTCTTAGGGTACCTGTCATCTTAGTTTGTTGATGTTAAGAACTTAATCATGGGATCTTAACTAAACTAAAAAGGAAAACGATGATATTGGAATCCAAAAGAGTTAGGGCACTACAGACATTCATAAAGTAGTATTGGGAGAAATTTTTCGTTTTCTTGCTGTCCTTCTCATTTTCTTATTTTCTGTACATGTCTTTTCGGTTAATATGCCTTTTGGAATTCAAATGGAATATATTCTTCAACTCCTAGTTCAGATCCTTGCCCTGTTATGATTCTTCAGTGTACTTGATAAGCTGATAATACGTGCTACTACAGAAGGGACTTCTGTGGGAAGGCATAGGGAAGGTTTTCACTTTCCAGGATAGCCATTACATGCATAGAAACTCTTTCTTAAGTTATCTTAAATACCTAAGAGTTAAGAAATAAGCTAGATATGCATTATGGTCTCACTTCATAATAGCTAAGAGATATTGGGGAAAATGGTTGTGCGAAACAAAGGATGTTGAAATTCTCAAGATCATCTCCACAGATAATCTACGTAATGTTTGCTACCTCCCGTGCCATCACCATGCGGGGTAAGCATCATTCAGTCACTATGTGGAATGAAAAGAAACACCAGGGCCTATCACATCATCACCACATGTGAATTTTGTTCATGATGAAAGTGTCTAGAAGCATTTCATGGGTCAATTTCATGCAAAACACTTTGGCAGTTGGGCTACCCTCATAAGCCCTATCTGTTAGAAAATGACTAGGTATCCTTTTATCATTTGAGTTAGTTGGCATCAGGTATGCATATATGTCCATATGCGCTTTATTCAAGATAACAATTCTAGCATCCTAGTCTAGCTTATTTTGTTAGACATTTCTTTTCAGAATCATACACATGAATTCTTAAATCAATAGCAAGTTATTATGCACGCTGGACCAAAAAAAAAAAAAACTATGCACGCCAGTCATCAATGTCACTTGGTAATACAACATTAATAGATTATGAAACAGAAATAACTCAGCATAATATTCTGTCTTTGGAGATTGAACCATGTGATTGATGGTTCTATCTTCTGAGTTTTTCAGCAGGTCCTTTCTTTTGATAGCATCGTGCTTCAGAAAATGACCGATTTTCTTAGAAGAGGCTCCATATCAGAAAATGCCACAATTTTGAAAACTGCCTGGGTCTGGAATAAAAGATAGAACTCTGTGTTTTGTGGTAACTTGAGAATTTGGCCTGTATTGCAGATAACAAGAGTTTACAAGAAAAAAGAGCATGTTGAGGTTGAGTTCACTGTAAGTTTGTCGATCTTATCCTCTGGCATCATCAGGGTGAGCGCTATGAAACACTATGTAATAACCTTATCCAAATTCTGCTGGAGCTATGTTGTGCTTGCAGGTAGGGCCTATCCCAATTGATGATAATATTGGCAAAGAGGTTGTCACTCAGATTAGAACTACCATAAACAACAATAAGACGTTCTACACTGATTCTAATGGTCGTGATTTCCTAAAAAGGGTATGGCATGCACTTGCCCCAAAGCCGACATTATGTCCTAAAGTACAATTATATCCCTTTGCTATTATTTTGTGCTTATTTCTTCTTCCCCATGTCATTTGTGCTATGATGGGGTGTTGGTGATTCTAATTGTACATTCAGTTGTTCAGATAATCTATGAAAAATTTTCTTGCAGATTCGAGATTACAGAGAAGATTGGGATTTGAAGGTTAATCAACCAGTTGCGGGAAATTATTACCCTGTATGTTCTGGTCATATTGCGCAACCATCTTATCCACACGTGTATTAATTGCTCAGTCTTGTCCACTACGTTTTCCTTCCTGCCTAGTTGAACATAATCCGGATGCAAAAACTCATCTGATAAGCTAATAAATGGAGAGGAAGACTTGAGGTGCTGACCTTGACTTGGATAGCTTTCATGGTTTCTGCAGCAGACTAAATTCATGTAAATTGCAAAGTAACTTTCGAAAACTTCCAATTTAATTAATAGGACGGAGAGCTGATATAATATACTTACAGGGTAAACATAACCACAATGAAGACAGTGAACTAAAATGTAATTTTCATACATATATAGACAGTCTACCCTTAGTTTACATTCAACCGTGTTGCATAAAGTTTAGCATCCATCTGAAGATACTAGTCGCTTTTTGTTACATCATTGGATAATATCAAGGTATTTACCTTTTGCCATTAAGTTAACAGTTGAAATGCATTTCGCCTGCCCGGAATAATATGAAGAATCCACTTTATTTTGTTTTTCACTTTCAGCACACAATTGAAACAAACCCAGATGCTGGCATCCCTTTGTCTAACTCATATGGGCGCAGCCAATTCCAGAGCTGTATATATTATTAACCAGGTTGATAACCTATACGGTTATCTTTTTGCATGAATTAGTGGCAAAAGAGAATTTTTCAGCTTTGTCAATGCTTTGTCAAATTCTTCAATGGCATGAGTAACATTCTTAAAGTCAACTCGAGAACGCTGAATCCCCTTCTAGCAATGAGTTACGAAACAGGCACATATCAGAATGCGTCAGAAAAAGGTCAATTCAAGCTTGATTGGAAGTAGGTTTTAACATAGACTTTGTTTAAAAAGGAAAAACAGAATTTTGCTTGCTAAGATCACGACTAGAAATTCTCCAATCACATCAAATTACTGTTTTAGTCTCTGTTTCCTCATTAACTCTTTGAATTACATAAAGATAATGTGAAAGTAAAAATATTTTACTGCAATCTACTCGGGTGCCAATCATTCTGGTATTGTCCTTCCAGATTAGTCTTGGCCTATATATTCGAGATGACAGTACAGAGCTCTCAGTTCTAGTCGATCGACCTGTGGGAGGTTCAAGCATCATTGATGGGCAATTGGAACTAATGCTCCACAGGTTTCTTTTATCCCTGTTGCTTTGAACCTCAATAAACAATGATGAATACCATATTCCAGTATACCACTTAGAGATCTGAGATAAGTTTGGGTCATACAGGAGGTTACTTTGTGATGATGACAAAGGCATCGCCGAGGCGCTAAATGAAACACTATGTGTCATTGATGATTGCAGGGGACTCACTGTAAGTGGTACAGGTTCTATTCCATTGTCTTCAGTCTAAAACTGGTTCTACTTACACATTGTAAGATGTAACATGCAGATCATGGGAAAGCACTACCTGAGAATTGATCCTTCAGGCGAGGGTGCTAAATGGCGTAGAACATTTGGACAGGAGATATATTCTCCGCTTCTACTAGCCTTTACAGAGCAGGTGAAAGAGTAACGTCTTCGTTTCTTCTGTCATCACTGCAGACAAAATTCATTTATTAGCTTATTATCGTTCTGCAGGGAGGGAAAGATGGGGCAAACTCCTATATACCAACCTTTTCAGCATTAGCTTCTTCTTACACCTTACCTGATAATATTGCCCTGATCACCCTCCAGGTTATGTATCTCAATCTATGTTTAGTTTTTTGAAAAGGAAAAGTTTAAGACCAACTTTATAAAGTGTGCTTTGAAATTGTATTTGCAGTTCTTCTAGATATTTGGATCAAAGATTTCTATATTTCAGCCTGACATTGCCACTTAAAAAACGCAAATGATGGAACAAAGAATATCTCCCTTCTTTTGCTAAATCGTTGTTATGTATCCTCAATCACTGCAGGAGCTGGAAGATGGGAATGTTCTCCTTAGATTGGCACACTTATATGAGGTTCTTACTTTATTTAGATCGTAGCTCTCCAGAGAATTATTTACACGTTCTTAATATTTCTTGAAGATGTAACTTTTCTGTGGTAATTTAAACTCAAGATTGGAGAGGACAAGGATCTCTCAGTTATGGCCAATGTCGAATTGAAGAAACTCTTTCCAGATAAGAAGGTAACAGCAGAATAAAGAGCAACAGTTCACAGTTGTATGCTGTCAGCCGCTTAAGTGATTTGTCTCATGTTATCTTCTCCTGCAATGATTCAGATAAACAGGATAGTGGAGCTTAATTTATCTGCTAACCAAGAAAAAGCGGCTATGCTGAAAAGAAGACTGGTGTGGAAAGTAGAAGGCTCTCCTGAAGGAGCCAATCCAGTCAGGGGAGGTCCTGTAGATCCTATAGAACTTGTGGTGGAGCTTGCACCCATGGAGATCCGCACCTTTGTTTTAAACTTTGGCTCTTAAGGGCGGTGCAAATGTGAGATTTCATCGGACAATTTATAAATCGTGCAGGTTAACCGTCTATAAGGCCATCCTGAACGGTACACGAGCAACTTGGGTAAGTCTATGGAGTATTCACCCCAATTCAGTTTGAAAGGGGAAGGCATATGTTGTATGGGACAAAAATCAGACATCATCTTACTCGGTCTCTACTTCTCTCTCTCTCTTCTCTGGTTTTAATTATTAATCCCCTGCAAATTTCATCTCCACAAGCAGGTCTTCTCAATGGAATGACTCTTCTTGTCTGCCAGGTGGACATTTTGTTGCATATCACCAATCAATCCTAAACACAACAGGTCTCATCTAATAGAAATAGACTCAACATTCCATAACCTACACTTCTAGGTCAACAAAGCATCCTATTTGGCCCCGAACCATGTAGGTATTATTGTCTATCCTATCACATGAGCTAGGATTTCATATTGTAGCTGGGTATGTGCAAGTGATAGATCAAGTATAAACTGCCTACATATTTGAGAAACCAGTGAGAGCAAAAAAAGGTTAACATGGCAGCCTTCATTCTCTCCAATTTTGGAAGCTCTTCCGTTGTTATGGGATTGGTGTGTACATTATCTTATGAATTTGGTACTTTCTCCTAAAGAAAAAGCTACCTCAACATTAACATATATGGGGTACCCCCTACAAATTATAATAAATTCAAGAACCGAAACAAAACATTGGACTTGGAACATCACGTTGTTCCAAGCATCATAGAAAAAGAACCACGGGAGCTTGATTTCATGATTTATACTGTCTGTCGGACAAGTTATGTGAAACCCACTTCTTGGGTGATTCACCTGCTTTACATGTTGGTGCACCACCGCACGAAGAGCTTTACTCATGCGATGTTTATAGAGTTCGTCCTCATATGCCAATATAATAACTTCAATCATTCTATCCTTTCTACCAGACATACCATAAGAGCGCTTGCAAAGTTAATTATCAAAGCTCTAGGGTAGTTCAAGCGCACATTGCATAACAGGCGTATGCCATGTTATATAACAATGGGCTAGAGCTCACAATACTTCAGACTTTCTACTGACTGTTAATTATGATCGTTCATGGGTGATAAGATGAAAACAATTTTATGTTCCGCCAGAAGAATTCAGCGTAGTAATTACCGAAAACTTGGAGAGGCTGCTTGAAGTGTCTCTGTTTGAGATAGATAAGTTACCGCAATATGGACTAATTTCAACGAACACGGGTGCATCAAAGGAGCTATTTCTTGCACTTAGGATATATCCCATACCAACTCCCCCCCTTCTCACGTAAAAACAAAAAAAGATATCGTGACCATTATATCAAGGTGATGAAACACCATCATATCATCTGGAGATGTTGCAGCTATGCACTTATGCCAAAAAGACAATACACTAATACTATTCATATAATACTACAAGATGACACATTTAAAGAACTGACAACTTTTATTTTTCATTAAGAGAGATACACTCCCCGTCACAATTACCACATGGACATGAACCTAGCGCCTCAATTAAAATTAACAGGACGGCATAGTTATGCCAACTTGAGCATGGTTGTAATTTGGGAGCAAAGGAATGTAGTTGAATCTCGAGAAATAACAATTGCATCGGGCACACAAATTGAAATGGCTGTAGTGCTAAACTGACAGCAACCATTGAGTGAGCCCACATAATCACAAGCTTACTGGTATATCCGTTGTTTCCGCATCTACCACTGCTAAGACCGCTCTATCTGTTATTTCCAATTCCACTGCAAGTGAGTCTCTAATGTCTTCCGAGTCGATGAAAAGCACTTATTTTGACAATTGCGGTCATGAAAATCAGCCAGATGGAATCATATCACATTTGAGTGAAAGTTGAAATTAAGTCAACTCCTGCCTCTCCAGTTCCCCTCCATTGCTCACTGCAAATGAAAGATTTTAATTAAAGTGATGCCAACAGTATCAGCAATTTGGAACCCAGTAATACACAGAGACTAGAAAACAGAACACCAATTTGAACTGGGTGAGCAATCTGAAGACAATCCAAGAGAAAAACCAATGCAAGCAAAAAATCGTTATGTGCAGTTGAAGTAAGCAATTTTTTCACTACGAACAATAGTGGATGTAGCACTTGGCTTCTGCATACAGATAGCTATACTTAACAAAAGCCAATAAGCTAGTCAAATGCACAACTACAGCCTAATAAAAATACAAAGAGGTGACTGCTGCCCAATCTGAAAAACTTCATGCAACCCACAAAATAAAAGTTGTCTGAGAGATCATCATGACCAAGCGGATGTGTTCATAAATATTAGTTGGAGTTCATTAGACATTTCTGAAGAAATTCATGAAGAGAAAACTGACGAAGGCCATTACAGGTCCATCCCTATCCTTCATTTGCAACTATATGACTGACCTTACATTTTGGAGGCAGCATGAAGAAAAGAACTCCACTGGCAACCTTTATGACTAGTACCATGGCATCAGAACATTCGTCTAGTATATAACTGGGAAGGGATGCACATACTCCTAAACAAAACGTGAATGAAAGGATTAGTTACGTCATCATTGAGGATATATCATAACCGAATTATTATTCAAGCAAGATGCAAGATATAAACCTCTTTGGGCATTATTATGTCGTTTTGGTTCCAAAATTTATCGCAGTTCTCTGAGGAAGAATGCCGCGTGTAATAAACGATAAACATCTCAAAGAGCGATGACACGCATATCCAGGGCCTTCTTAACTATTGAGTGGTTAATTACTTGAAACTTATAACGTTTATTGATATCAAGTTGAAGCCTGAGAAGCGACTTTCATCTCTTCTTCTTTAAAGAAGTTCCCCGGGTCATTCTTGTGGCCACCAATTTGACCCTTATAAAAATCACTTGAAACAGTGGAAACTGGTAACCATCCAAGCCTAACCGCACTTTCCAGAATCTTTTCTGCTTTTTCCACACTTCCTGCTTTGGCAAATCCACAGACTAAAGTATTACATGTAGTCACACTTAGCTTAGGCTTGCGCTCTCCTATCTTATCGAGTACCATCACAATTTCCAGAAAACTTACTTTTCCACACAATGTAGCCAGAAGATCATTATAGACATCTTCACTCATGGAAAAGCCCTTGACAAGCAATTCATCAACAAGCTCAATAGCTTTTATCAAGTCACCTTCCTTGCAATAAGCATCAACCATCACCGAATAGAGTACTTCATCAGGCTCAATCCCTCGGCCCACCATCTCCTCAAAAGCAGCGAATGCTTTGAGTCTGTTGCCAGCTCTGCTCTGACCATTTATTAGTGAAGTATAAGTCACGACATTTGGTGGCAGATTCTGCTGTTGCATCTTGACAAAGAGATCCTCTGCTTTACTTACCATTCCTGCCTTACAAAAATAATCAATGAGAATGGTATAGGTCACATGATTAGGTGCAATGTGCCTATCAACCATAACTTCCACCAAATTCTCAGCTTCACTCAGCTTTCCCAACTTGCTGAAGCCATCAATTACAGCGTTGAAAGAAACAGTAGATGCAAAGCCTTTGTTCACCATATCATTAAACAAAGAGAGAGCCTTCTTTACATTGCCTTCTTTGAAGCAACCATCGATAAGGGCAGAATAAACAAAGCTATCAGGTTCAACTCCCACAGATAGCATCTCATCAAACAAATAGAATGCCTCACCTAAATTGCCAGATTTACAGTATCCATCTATGATTGTAGCATACGTCACTCTATTAGGAGCCAAGCCTCTAGCTGAAATCCCATCAAACAGCGTCCTAGCTCCAACAACGTCTCCTAACTTACAAAGACCATTAATCAAGGTATAACAGAAATGTAAATAAAAATATCAGCCACTAGGCCCTTTTCCTGGAGTTCAGAAAAAACCTCCGTTGCTTCTTTTAGTTTCCCGTTCTTTGAAAGTCCTTGGATCAACAGTCCGTAAATCTGCACATCTGGGAGCACTTGCCGCTCGAGCATGACCTTAACAACTGTGAATGCTTCTCCAACGTCACCTCCTTTACAATGACCATCAATAAGAGTCGTGCAGATGACACCATTTGGTACTACACCGCAGTCTATCATCTCCATGAAGAATCTGCCAGCTGCCAGCATATCTGCTGCCTTACAATACCCACTGATGAAAGACCCATAAGTATATTCATTAGGCTTGAACCCCTTCTCCGACATTTCAACTAAGTATAGCCTCGCTTCTTCCATCTTGTTGGCTTTGCAGAGCCCCATGATAAGAGAATTATAGCAAAAAAACATCAGGTAAAATCCCTCTCCTCTTCATTTCCTCAAAAAATTTCTTTGCATCTTCAAGTTTATTTTGTTGGATGTGGCCCTTGATTAGAGTCGTAAATAATTGCATTTGGTTTTACATTTGCGCTAATCATCTCATCCAAAAGGCTGTTAGCCGCTTGGAGATGTCCACTGAGGCATAGGCCCTTTATTATCACAGCGTAGGTGTAAACTGAGGGTAGCAAGTTTCTACTTTTCATCTCAATCAACATCTCACGAGTCTTAACCATGTCTTGCTTCCTACAGTATTCCTACAAAGACAGGTGATGAGTACGTTGTATGTGGGAACCTTCAACTTTAGACCACGGTCAACCATCGAATCTTTGATTCTGAAAGCCTCATCGACATCACCTTCTTTCATGAACCCATCCAGCAACGCTGTGTAGGTAATTTGTTCAGGTTTTAATCCAATATCGAACATTTCGTCAAGTAATGCTTTTGCCTCTCTCGACCTTCTGTGCTTACAAAAGCCATCGATGAGTAAAGGTGATTGGTTCCAGGGTGGATTGGGTCCAGACCTAGAATCTGAAATCAATCCTGTAATAACCTGTTCTTAATTTTTGAAACTTGAAATCTATCATGTTTTCCTTAGACCCTGTTTTGACACCGACCCTGTTTTTCCGGTCCGGTTTTAGGATTTACCCGAGAACCTTTCTTTTTTGTTCCTTTTTCTGATTTCATTTTTTTTTAGCAAAATAATATAGGTAGTAATGAAACGATTCAAAGTAAAAGATCTACCGGATCGGCAAGCCAAAAAGGCGAAAAAAACACACGCACGGTACGGACGCCGAGATGACCGAACCCTAGCCCTCTTCAACACGCAGGCAGGCGACGAGCTGGGTTGCGTTCTTACGGCAACTGAGGAGGTGCTTGCGAAGAGAGAAACCATGAGAGACAGAGGAGGTCGCGAAGAGAAAAGAGAGAAACCGTGAGAGACAGACTGGGTAGCCGGATAGGGTAAGTGATCTAGGATTTTTACCTTTTTTACATTATCTCAAAACCGGTTCTAAAACCGGTCCGGGTCGATTTTTACTTGGAATTGGAAACCAGACCGGTTATAACCGGTTCCCTAAAAATGGAACCGGTTCCCGGACCGATTCTTGTTAGAACCGGTTCCCGGACCTATTTTTCGGGTGGGCCAGTCCGGTTTCCTGGTAAACCCGGTCCGGTTGCACACCCCTATCGACGAGTATGGTGTAAGTATATCGATCGGGCGTAAAACCCTGGCCAGGCATTGCCTTGAGCAAACTTAAAGCGTCATCTAGGAGCCCAGATCTGCAGAGTCCTCCGATCATCACGTTGAAAGTAACTAAATTGGGGGCATATCCCTTCTTCTTCATGTCAGAAAGCAAGCACCTGTTTAGCCCCCTCAGCATCGTCCACCTTGAAGTAAGCAGTGATGAGACTGCTATAGGTGTAAGCGTCAGGAACAACACCGGCTTCCAACATGGCTCCGTAAACCTTCCAAAACAGGGGCATTCTATTGGCCTTGCACAAATCCTTGAGGAGCGTATTGCAACACACAACCTAGGCACGAGCCCACCATCCTTGGCACCCAAAAAAACGGAGCAAGCTTCGCTCAAAAGCCCTCTCCTTTTGTAAACACTGATGGCAACCTCAAAAACCGCAACGTCGTGACCTCTACTGAATTGACGGTGACTGCAGAGCAAAGAGTCTAATATCTGGGACACCGGCGCCCCAGTATCGATCATACGGTGGGCGACGCCATCGGCGAGAGGAAAGAGCATGGAATCGCAGAGAACGACGGCGAGAATGGAGAAGGAATGCAAGTTCTGGGGCCCACCCAGGAAGGAATCGGACCAGCGGAAGAAGCTGAGGAGGCGTTTGGGGTCGCGTACCTGGTTCTGGCGAAGCACGGAGAGCACCACGTCGGGATTGAGCCTCTGGGGAAGGTCGGAGGAACGAAGGAGGAGCTCCCAGTCATGGTGATGGAGGATGGCGGCGATCTCGCTCGCCGTCCGGTGGTGGTCGAGCTGCGAATGCGACGAGGTGGAGAGCGATCGGACGTGCTTGAGGCGAGCGAGTCTTGACATTGACATGGGCCAATGACGAAACTCGATCCTTCGAATATGTGCGTGCGTGGGTGGCTCTGCGGAGGTCGGGATCGCCACTGAACTGGAGGACCAGCCGCGACGGGAGAGGGAAGAGATGATGGAGACGACGGCGTCAGGTGGCTTTCCGCATGGGCCGTCATCCCTGGGGCTTGGGCCTTGGGATCCTCGACAGTCGTGTCCTTGTTCTTGATCCACTCATGTCTGCCGGGCCGAGTTAGCGGTTCAATCTAAGTTTGTGAAATCCCAGACTTTCATTTTGCACCAACAATGAGTCCGTTTGGTTCGGTTTTGGAGAAATGTAATCGGAAAAATGTAAATGTCTTTGGGTTAAAGGGATTTTCAGAAATGCAAATAGTGTTTAGTAAATTGTAATCTTAAAGTGTGATGAGAAACAACTTTGGCTTAAATGGTGTTTAGCAAAATCACACATTGAAAAGTATTTTTGTCCTTTTAGGAAAAAAAAACAAACACACAAAACTGACAATACACGTCGGTCGATAAGGCTAATAAACTGGCTGCCGGTGAGCCACATCTGGCGCCGGAAACCTTGCCAGAGGTCGCCGGTGCCACATCCACATTTGGCTCGCCGGCAGCAAGTGTATTAACTTCACCGAATGCTCGTCGGCCACCCGCAGCGGCCTAAAACCTAGCCGATGACATGACGTTACGTATGGACATTTTCTGAAATTATGAAAGTTCAGCTAGGATAAAATTAGAACATGGAACATTTTGCAACTAGAGCTCCAAGGGCGTTCAAATCTCTCTTCCAATCAAAACAAACACACATTCGGCTTTCTAGTATTCCTCTCCAAAATCCGCCCTTTCTTCGTTTCTAGTACCGGGAGCTTGTCCAGGGTTTCATCCATTTGAGGTTAAGATGAAGGAATGCAGCAAGGGGATTTGGAAGTGTCGGACATCCAAGTGAGCCCACAAGCCGGCAACCTTGCTCGTTTGGTTGGCACCATACCCGGTTCTATCGGCACTCCTTGTGAAGCAGGCACTTTCCAAATCGACGTTATTCTTCCCGGTGCATTCCCACCCTTTTGTTAGCTCATTATTTGCTCGGAGTTTCCCACTTTATCGTCCCTTGGGGCCTATCTTGCCTCTCTCATCGTTTGGAGTTCAGTGTGGTTCGAGGACATTTCGCATATGTTATTTAGGATTTCCTCAATTTTCATTTTCTACTTGGTATCACGTGGGAGTGATAGTGCATGTGTGTCCATACCTAGATTTTCGAAGATGGCTTAAGCATTGCCCATGTATAATTTCTAAGATGACGCAATTAAGTGTGATAATCTACTTTGTGATCTTTCCATTTTCCCGAGGATGTTGGACTCTCTCTCAAAACTGAGCGATACTCGCCATATGTGTGTGCGCGTGCGCCCCTTTGCGTGGGTGGGTTGAAGGGCATCCTCTTTAAGAATGGCAAAATTGAACTCAATACGGCGATTTGAAAAAAATTTCAATGTTCGCACTGCTTGTTTTCTGTTCTGCGCTATCACATGTGCCTTTCTTTCTTATTCGTGTGCTATAATTTAGCTGTTGTTATAAAGTGCAGAAAGACTTCCATTTTACACCAACAATGGGCCCGTTTGGTTCGGTTTTAGGGAAATGTCTTTGGGAAAATGCCTTTGGGAAAATGCAAATCCATTTGGGTTAAAGGAATTTTTAGAAATGCAAATAATGTTTAGTAAATTGTAATCTTAATTTGCAATGAGAAACGACTTTGGCATAAATTGTGTTTAGCAAAATCATACATTGAAAAGTATTTTTGCCATTTTAGGAAAAAAAACACACAAACAAAATTGGCAAGACTCGTCGACCGATAAGTCTAATAAACTGGCTGCCTGTGAGGCAGATCTGGCGTCGGCAGCCTCGCCTGAGGTCGCCTGTGCCACGTCCACATCTGGCTCGCTGGCAACAGGTTTATTACCTTCACCGGATGCTCGTCGACCACCCGTAGTGGCCTAAAACCAAGCCGGTGATGTGACGTTACGTATAGACATTTTCCGAAATTATGAAAGTTCGACTAGAGTAAAATTGGAACGCGGAACATTTGTAACTAGAGCTCCAAGGGCGTTCAAATCTCTCTTCCGACCAAAAGAAACACGCACTCCGCTTTCCAGTTCCTCTCCAAAATCCGCCTTTTCTTCGTTTCTAGTATCGGGAGCTCGTCTAGGGTTTCGTCCGTTTGAGGTTAAGATGAAGGAATGCAGCAAGGGAACTAGGAAGCGTCGAACATCCAAGTGAGCCCTCAAGCCGACTACCTTGCTCTTTTGGTTGGCACCATACCCGGTCCTACCGGCACTGCTTGTGAAGGCGGCACTTTCCAAATCGACGTCACTCTTCCCGGTGCATTCCCGCCCTTTTGTTGGCTCATTGTTTGCTCGGAGTTTCCCACTTTATCGTCCCTCGGGGCCTATGTCGCTTCTCTCGTCGTCTGGAGTTCAGTGTGGTTCGAGCACATTTCGCATATGTTGTTTAGGTTTTCCTCCAGTTTCATTATCTACTTGGTATCGCATGGGAGTGAGAGTGCCTGTGTGTCCATACCTAGATTTTCGAAGATGGTTTAAGCATTGTCCATGTATAATTTCTGGACATCCAATTTCGGTTCTAAGACGACATGATTAAGTGTGATTATCTGCTTTGTTATCTTTCCATTTTCCTGAGGATATTGGACTCTCTCGCAAAACTGAGCTGTACTCACCATATGTGTGTGTGCATGCGCGCGTGCCGTTGTGTGTGTGGGTTGGTGGGGATCCTCCTTAAGAATGGCAAAATTGAACTCAATACGGTGATTTGAAAAAAATTCCAATGTCCGCACTGCTTGTTTTCTGTTTTACGTTGTCACATGTGCCTTTCTTTCTCATTCGTGTGCTATAATTTAGCTTCTATTATAAAGTGCATAAACACTTTCATTTTGCACCAACAATAGGCCAATTTAGTTCAGTTTTGGGGAAATGTCTTTGGGAAAATGCAAATGCCTTTGGGTTAAAGGGATTTTCAGAAATGCAAATAGTGTTTAGTAAATTGTAATCTTAAAGTGACATGAGAAACGACTTTTGCTTAAACGGTGTTTAGCAAAATCACACATTGAAAAGTATTTTTGTCTTTTTAGGAAAAAAAAAAAAACACACACACACGCACACACACAAAACTGGCAAGACTCGTCGGCCGACAAGGCTAATAAACTGGCTGCCGGTGAACCAGATCTGGCGCCAGCAGCCTCGCCTCAGGTCTCCTGTGCCACATCCACATCTGGCTCATCGGTAGCAGGTTTATTAGCTTCAACGGATGCTCGTTGGCCGCCCGCAGTGGCCTAAAACCTAGCCGGTGACGTGACGTTATGTATGGATATTTTCTGAAATTATGAAAGTTCAGCTATGGGAAAATTAGAACGTGGAACATTTTGCAACTAGAGCTCCAAGGGCATTCAAATCTCTCATCCGACAAAAACAAACACACACTCTGCTTTCTAGTATTCCTCTCCAAGATCCACCTTTTCTTCGTTTCCAGTACCGGGAGCTCGTCCAGGGTTTCGTTCATTTGAGGTTAAGATGAAGGAATGCAGCAAGGGGACTTGGAAGCGTCGGACATCCAAGTGAGCCCTCAAGCCGACAACCTTGCTCTTTTGATTGGAACCATACCCAGTCCTACCGGCACTCCTTGTGAAGGCGGCACTTTCCAAATCGATGTCACTCTTCCCAGTGCATTCCCACCCTTTTGTTAGCTCATTGTTTGCTTGGAGTTTCCCACTTTATCGTCCCTCAGGGCCTATGTCGCCTCTCTCGTCGTTTGGAGTTCAATGTGGTTCGAGCACATTTCGCATATGTTGTTTAGGATTTCCTCCAGTTTCATTATCTACTTGGTATCGCAAGGGAGTGAGAGTACCTATGTGTCCATACCTAAATTTTCGAAGATGGTTTAAGCATTGTCCATGTATAATTTTTGGACATCCAATTTCGGTTCTAAGACGACATGATTAAGTGTGATTATCTGCTTTGTTATCTTTCCATTTTCCTGAGGATATTGGACTCTCTCGCAAAACTGAGCTGTACTCGCCATATGTGTGTATGCATGCGCGAGTGCCGTTGCGTGGGTGGGTTGGTGGGGATCCTCCTTAAGAATGGCAAAATTGAACTCAATACGGTGATTTGAAAAAAATTCCAATGTTTGCATTGCTTGTTTTCTGTTCTGCGTTGTCACATGTGCCTTTCTTTCTCATTCGTGTGCCATAATTTAGCTGCTATTATAAAGTGCAGAAAGACTTTCATTTTGCACCAACAATGGGCCCGTTTGGTTCGGTTTTGGGGAAATATCTTTGGGAAAATGCAAATCCATTTGGGTTAAAGGAATTTCTAGAAATGCAAATAGTGTTTAGTAAATTGTAATCTTAATTTGCAATGAGAAACGACTTTGGCTTAAATGGTGTTTAGCAAAATCGATCATTGAAAAGTATTTTTGCCTTTTTAGGAAAAAAAACACACAAACAAAACTGGCAAGACTCGTCGGCCGACAAGGCTAATAAATTGGCTGCCTGTGAGCCAGATTTGGCGTTGGCAGCCTCGCCTAAGGTCACTTGTGCCACGTCCACATCTGGCTCGCCGCCAGCAAGTTTATTACCTTCACCGGATGCTCGTCGACCGCCGAGGTCGACTACGTGCTGGAGTATAAACCAGGAAAGGCCAATTCGGTGGTCGATGCCTTGAGCCGAAAGATGAAGTTGGCCAACATTATAAGTCGACCCAGATGTCCATGGATCGATCGTATCAAGGAGGGGCTCAAGCATGATCCAACAGCCCGGCAACTCCTTGAGTACACACGGGAAGGCAAAACTAGGCAATTATAGTGGAAGGACGATCTTCTCTACACCAAGGGACAGCGACTATATGTACCGCTCTACGGGAAACTAAGGAAGGAAGTGC